CTGATGACTATGTGTCGTGGTATTTTTCCTGTTTGCAGTTAATCTCCCAGGAGTCCTTTGAGCTTCTTGTACCTGGATATCCAGATTTGTAGCAAAGCCAGGGAAATTTTCCTCAATTATTCCCTCTAAAAGATTATCCAACCCTTGTGTATTTTCTTCTTCACCCTCAGCAATGCCTGTGATTCTTCACATAATCTCATTTTTCTTGTAGGCTTTGCTCTTTTCTGTTACTTCTCTGCTCTATCTCTGTGACTGACTTGTTGAATTATAAGGTATTGTCTTCAAGCCCTGACATTCTTTCTTCTGTTTGATCTAACCTATTCTTTTTTTTTTTTTTTTTTTTTGAGACAGAGTCTCGCTTTGTTGCCCAGGCTAGAGTGAGTGCCATGGCATCAGCCTAGCTCACAGCAACCTCAAACTCCTGGCTCAAGCAATCCTCCTGCCTCAGCCTCCCAAGTAGCTGGGACTACAGGCATTCGCCACCATGCCCGGCTAATTTTTTGTATATATATGTTAGTTGGCCAATTAATTTCTTTCTATTTATAGTAGAGACGGGGTCTCGCTCTTGCTCAGGCTGGTTTCGAACTCCTGAGCTCGAGCTCGGCCTCCCAGAGAGCTAGGATTACAGGCGTGAGCCACCGCGCCCGGCCTGATCTAACCTATTCTTAAGGCTTTCCACTGCGTTTTGTAATTCCATGAATGAATTTTTCATTTCTAGATGTTCTGTTTGATTTTTCTTTAATATTTCAGTTTCTTTAGTGAATTTTTTATTCATTTCCTGGATTTTGGGGTGGTTTCTTTGTGTTGGGTTTCCATTGTATCTTGCATTTCATTGAGTTTCCTTACAATCCATGTTTGAAATTCTTCATTTGTCATTTTAATGTTCTGATTTTGGTTGTTCTCCATTGCTAGAGAGCTGGTGTTCATTTTGGGGTGTCCTTTTGCTTTGATTCTTTATACTTCTGGAGTTCTTTTGCTGATTTCCTTGCCGTCTGGAGCAGCTGATGCTGCTTCTCTTTGATTTTCTTTCTTTCTTTTTATTTTATTTTTTTAGAATTGCCAGAGTGTTTTCCAAAGCAGCTATACCATTTTATGTTCCCAACAGCCTAATTGCCCTGGCTACAACCTCTAGTACAATTTTGAATAGAAGTAATAAGAGTAGACATCCTTGTCTTGTTCCTGATCTTAAGGAAAAACTTTCAGTCTTTTACAATTAAATATGATGTTAGCTGTGGGTTTTTCATAGATGTCTTTTATTAGGTTGAAGATGTTTTCTTCTATTCCTAGTTTGTTGAGTTTTTAAATCACAAAAGGATGTTGGATTTTGTTAAATCCTTTTCCTACATGTGGTTTTTTCCTTGGTTCTATTAATACGGTGTATTGCATTGATTGATTTTCACATGTTAAACCAACCTTATATTCCTGAGATAGAGCCTCTTGGTCTTGGTGGGTTTATAATCCTTTTTATAAGTTGCTGGATTTGGTTTATTTAGATTTTTGTTAAAGATTTTCAGATCTGTAGTCATAATGGATATTGGTCTATATATTTTTTCTTGCTATGTCTTTATCTGGTTTTAGTATCAGGATAATACTGGCCTCAAAAAATGAGTTGAAGAGTATTCCCTTATCTAATATTTTTTTAAGGGTTTTGTGAAGGATTGGTCTTAATTATTCTTTAAATGTTTGATATAATTCACCAGTGAAGCCATCTGATCCTGGGCTTTTCTTTGTGGGTAGTTTTTGGATTACTTGTGGTGGTTTTTTGTTTGCTAATTTAGTCACTTGTTATAGTTCTACTTGGATTTTCTATTTCTTCTTCAGTCAGTTTCAGTAGTTTGTGCCTTTCTAGGAATTTGTTCATTTCATCTAGGTGATCTAATTTGTTGGCAACTGTTCACAGTATTCCCTTGTCATCTTTGTTATTTCTGTTAAGTTAGTAGTGTTTCCCTCTTTAATTCCTGATTTTAGTAATTTGAATCTTCTCTTTTTTGGGGGGTCAGTCCAGCTCATAATTTGTCAATTTTCTTGATCTTTTCAAAGAACTAACTTTTGGTTTCATTGATTCCTCTATTTTTCTATTCTCTATTTTATTTATTTCCATTCTAAACTCTATTCTTTCCTTCCTTCTATTTGTTGTAAATAGTTTAATACTCTTTGTTGTTTCTTAAGGTAGAAGTTTAGGGGTTTTTGTGTCTATTTTCTTTTTTGATATGGATGTTTACAGCTATAAATGTCCCTTTAAGCACTGCTTTCACTGTATCCCTAAATTTTGGTATGTTGTGTTTAGGTTTTCATCCATCTATGTATGTATGGATGAAATATCTAAAATATATCTAGGTATTTTCTAATTTCCCTTGTGATTTCTTCTTTGCCATATAGTTATTTAGGAGTATGCTGTTTAATTTCTACATATTTATGACTTTCTCAAATTTCTGTTATTGATTTCTAATTTCATTCTCTTGTGGTCAGAGAACATACTTTAAATTTATTGAACCATGTTTTATGACCTAACATAAGGTCTATCCTGGAGAACATTTTATGTGTACCTCGGAAGATTGTGTATTTTGCTGTTGGGTGGAAGTCTTCTATAGAAGTCTGTTAGGTCTAGTTGGTTATAGTGTTGTCTATTTTCTGTTTCCTTTTTAGTCTTCTAACTGTTCTATATATTATTGAAAATGAGATGTTGAAATCTCTACCTATGATTCTTGAATTGTCTATGCTACCTTCAAGTCTGTCAGTTATAATTTCATATAGAGTTAAAATTTTTTAATTGTGGTAAAATACACATAACCAAATTTACTATCTTAACAATTTTTAAGTTTATAATTTAATAATATTAAATACATTGTTTTGTAACCATCATCACTGCCAGAACACTTTTCATCTTTTAAAACTGAAATTCTGTACCCATTAAATAATAACTCTCCATTCCCAACTCTCCTCCCTTCCACTCCCCCCACGACCCCCAGTCTCTGGCAGCTACCATTCTACCTTTTGTTTCTATGAATTTGGCTACTCTAGGTACCTCATATAAATGGAATTACATAGTATATGTCCTTTTGTGTTTGGCTTATTTGACGCAACATAATGTCTTCCAGGTTCATCCATGTTGTAGCATGTGTCAGAATTTCCTTTTTAACTGAATAATATTCCATTGTATGTATATACCACATTTTATTTATCCATCCATTGATGAACACCTGAGTTTTTTCCCCCTTTTGGTCACTGTGAATGATGTTTTTATGAACACTAGAGTACAAATACCTCTTTGAAAACCTGCTTTTGATTCTTTGGAGTATGTAGCCAGAAGTGGAATTGATGTTTCATATGGTAATTCTGTTTTTAATATATTTTGAGGAAACATTATACTGTTTCCCAATGGTATTGCATCATTTTACGTTCCCACCAAAAATATTAAGTATTCCAATTTCTCTACTTTCTTACCAACACTTGTTATTTTGTTTTTTTGCTAGTAGCTATCCTAATGGGTATGAGGCAATATCTCATTGTGGTTTTGATTCGTGTTTCCCTAAACTCATTACCCTAAACCAGGCATCCTCAAACTACAGCCCGCAGGCCACATGTGGCCTGCCGAGGAAATTTATCTGGCCCACCAGGTGTTTTTGTCGCTGCTGCCTGTCTTGCTTAGCAGCCAACTTTTCCGGAGCCCACAGAGTGCATGTGTGAATATGCACCTCACTCTCCAACGGCCCTCCAATGGTCTGAGGGACAGTGTACTGGCCCCCTGTTTAAAAAGTTTGAGGACCTCTGCTACCAAAGTTGAGATGTTGAGCATCTATTCACATGCTTGTTGGCCATCTGTATATCTTCTTTAGAACAATGTGTATTTAAGTCCTTTGTCTTTTTTCTCTTCTCTTCTCTTCTCTTCTCTTCTCTTCTCTTCTCTTCTCTTCTCTTCTCTTCTCTTCTCTTCTCTTCTCTTCTCTTCCCTCCCTCCTCTCCCTCTCCTTTCCCTCCCCCTCCCCATTCCCTCACTGTATCCTCAAACTACTGGGCTCAAGCAATCCTCCTGGATCAGCCTCCTGAGTGGCTAGGACTGTAGGCACAGACCACCTCACCTGGCCAATTTTATTTCTTTTAGAGATGGGATCTTGGTGTGTTGCCCAGGCTGATCTCAAACAATTCTCCCACCTTAGCCTCCCAGAGTACTAGGATTATAGATGTGAGCCACTGCACCTGGCCCCGTTTTTTAACTGGTTTGTTTGGTTTTTGTTATTGTGGAGTTGCAGAAGTTATTTATATATTCTGGATATTAACTCCTTGCATGATTCACAAATAATTTTCTCCTGTTGCCTGGGTTCACTTTTTACTTTGTTGATTGTTGTGCTCATTGTAATTTATTTAAATAAGCAAAGAACAGGACTCTGAAGAGGTGTCCCAGAACAATGAGTTTTTATGAAAGTCTCTATGTGGGGAAGGCAGGAGCAATGAAATGAGGTTGTGTAGGGACATTGTGATGTTACCAGATACATGGAATGGAATAAGAGAGGAAGTTACTGAAAGATGAAAACATCAGATGAACTTCACAAGTTTGCCCAGGCCTAGCCTTAAATTAGGCAATTGGGTAAGCTCGAGAACAAGGAAAACAAGAGAGTGTTCAGGAAACGCCTATGAGTGATTATTTAGATGACTAAATCAGTTGTTGTACATATAAGGCGGACAAGATGGATTGGCTGAGCTGCTACCTTTATTTGTCAAAAGCAAGCATAGGTTAAGACTCAAAATAGGCATAGCTCAAAACTTAATACTTTGTTTTATGCCTAGAATTTTTCAAATTTTCATGTGATGAATTTCATCTCTGAGACAAACTAAAGGTTACAATTTCTGAGAAAATTATCCAAAAAGTGCTGTCTTTTATGAACATTTTTGTTCCAAGAACCAAGTCTTAACCTCTACTTACAGAAGTACTACAATCAGCTCATTGTGCTTTTTTTCTTCCCATCAAAAAATAACATTAGTTTCCTAATCAGTGTACTCACCATTGTCTGCTCTCTTAACTCTGGCATATATTGGTGTTTACTTTCCATTATTAAATATTTGTTTAGCAACCCTGTCAGGAACACTTGTCTATCAAAATTTTTTGGCTTTGTTTTTTTCTTTTGTTAATTATGAATTGGCAGTTTCTGCAAAAAGACAAAATTATCTTACACATCTTCATACTCAAAAAGAGATAAATTACAATAAGATGCATTTAACAGATAACAGATGGTTCTAAATCCTTAGAATGTTATTAATACTACTAAAGTTAAATTTTTGAAGCATTTGTTGGATTATTGTACTTGTGCTTTGTTCAGTGATCTTTGCGTTTTGTCTGGTATCAGTCTAGGGCATACGCCGTAGTATAACAAACACAATCAATGTTACTGAAAATAAATTAGCTAACTAAAAAATAGACTTTAAGGAACATATCCAGAAAGCAAAAGAAATTGCTAGAGACAAATATAAGGGAAGAGAGGATAATTAAAATCAGTTATCTTTCAGACAGAGTCAGCCTGCTAATAACTGAATTCTAGAAGAAGACAGGACAGACAGTTCAAAATTATCAGAGGTATAATCGAAAAAAATGTTCTAGACTTTAATAAAAGAAAGACCTAAGGTTGGAGATAGGTAAGGCTTATCACATATTAGATCCCAAGCCATATTTTGGTTAAAGTCTAAAACTTAGAATTCTGTATGTTTCCAATCAAGAATCAGGATAAACAATATTAGCTTGTTGAAATTCACAGTGAACTGCATTAGTATTTTGATTGGATTTGAATTATATCTATGGGATTAGTATGGGAAGAATTGACATCTTATAATACTGACACTTGTAATCCACGAATGTGGTTTATTTCTCCATTTACGCCTTCTTAAATGTTTTAAAATTGTTTTATAATTTTCTGTACATCTATTTTTAGATGTATTCTGAGGTATCATACTTTTTGCCAGTGTTATAATTAGGTGTGTAATTATGTTTTCTTTTTGTTTCTGTTCTTTAAAATGTGTATAGAAGAGCAGACAGCCAAAACAAGACATTTTTGAACAAGAAAAATAAGGTGGTAGAACATGTCCTACCAGATATCAAAACAGAATTGTTCAAAGAGTAATTAATAGTAAGTTAAGACAGTGTTTGGCTCAGAGAAAGAGATCTTAACCAGTACAGCAGAACATGGACTTAGAAACTGGCCCACAGATACATGGAACCCATAGTATGTAACATGGATGGCATTACAGATCGGGGGTAGGAGGGGAGAAACTATTTTAAAATAATACTGGCATGATTAGTTAGCCGTATGGATTAAATTCCATATGGGTTAACTATCAATTCCCCTCTCAAATTAGATCACTATTTAATATCATATACAAATCATTTTTGCATAGTATGAAAAGCTTTTAGGGCATATGGGAACATCATGGAGGAATTACCTGATAAGACACTGAAAGGACTAGGCATGAAAGGAAAGACCGAGTACATTAAAACCAAGTGCTTCTGTTCAATAAAAAATTCTATAATGAAATTTAAAAGGCACAAACTGGGAGAAGATGCTTGCCACACACGTAGAACCAATAAAGCTTTAGCATACAGAATGAATCAATAAGAAAAAGACAAACAGCCCAGTGGAAAAATGGGCAAAAAGACATGAACAACCATTTCATACAAAAAATACATAAGGCCCATAAATATATGAAAAGATGTTCAACCTTATAAGTAACCAAGAAAATGCAAATTAGTGTCACTGTGAGCCTGCCAAAATTAAGAGTTTTGCCAGTATCGTAAGTTGAAGAGGATATGGATCGGCAGAAACTCTTACACGCTACTGATGCGCAGTATATATTGCTCCAGCTACTTGGAAAACAATTTAACTTTTTGTGGTGAAGTTGAATTTTACAAACTTTCTGACTCAGCATCTCTAGAGAAACTTACCCATCTACTAGAAGATGTATACAAGAATGTTCACAGAAATCAAAATGATAAAAAAACTTGAAAATAACCCAAGTTTGTTGATAGAGTATGGAAAATTAAATTGTGGTATATTGACATAACAGGATATTATACTTATTAAAAGTGAATGAACTACTGTTATACATTGGTTGCTTTCAATGTAGTTAATCAGGCAGTTTTGCAGTCATCAGCATCAAAAAATAATAAAGCAGCATTTATTCATTCTTTTAAAAAAAACTTTACTGAATTCCTGATAACACTGTGTGTGCCAGACACTGTTCCAAGTGCTAGGGATTTAAGAGTGAACAAGATAGACAAGTTCTCTGGCCTCATGAAGCATTCATTTTATGTTGAAAGGGGAAGAGATGAATAAGTAATGTAAGTACCAAAAATAATATGCAGTTTAGTGTAGGCATAAGAGCTGTGGAAAAACAATGAAGCAAAGTAAGAGAATAGCACATGATGTGATTGTGTGTGTGTGTGTGTGTGTGTGTGTGTGTGTGTTTTTCTACACAGCCAAGGAAGCCCTTTCTGAAAAGGTGACATTTCAGCAGAACTGAGTGTTCTGTGGAAAGGAGCTGTACAACTATCTGAGGGAAAAGTGGAAATGAGCTTGGCATGTTCAAGAGAAGAGAAAGAAGGCAAGTGAGGCTCATGGAGAATGAACTAGGACTGGGGAGAGGGGCTGGAGATGAGTCCAAGGAGATAGGCAAAAACCATATCATTTAGGGCCTGACAGTTTTAGTAATAAGTTTAGAGTTTTTAAAGTATGATGGAAAGTCATTGGAGAGTTTTGAGCAGAGGAATGACATGATCTGTTTTATGTTTAGGGACTGAAAAATTGATTGTTAGGGACAGAGGCAGGGGGAAGTACATTCAAAGGGCCCAGTTGGGTGGCTTTTAGAGAAGTTTAGTCATCAGATGACAGTGGAATAGAAAGGGGTCGGGTGGGGCAGTAGAAGGTATTTGCAGTGGATGAAGAAAGAAGTGGTTAGTGTAGTAGTGATACGTTTTGAGAGTATAATTGAAATGACTTAATGATGGGGATATGTCTGTAAGGGAGAGGTATAAATCAATAATGACTTCCAGGTTTCGGGTAGAAGCAGCTGGATGGATGGTGATGCCATTTACTCACAGGAGAGTCCTGAAGGATAAGCAAGTTAGGCCATCAAATTAAGGGTTTGTTTTGAGAACTCTTAAATTTTAAATGCCGATGAGACACCCCAGTATGTGAGTCTGAAGCTCAGAAAGAGGTCTGGAATTTGGAGGTAGCAATATAAGACTCACCAACATAAGATGGCATTTAAAACTGTAGAATTGGATGATATCACCAAGGGATTAAGTATAGGTAGAGAGGAGGAGCTGTGAAAGGAGAGTCACCAGAAGTGATGATAAGATAGGGGGAAAAAAACCACCAGGAGACTATAGTGTCTGGAACTCAAGAGAAGAAATGTTTCAATGGACATAAGATATAATAGAAAAATATATATGCAATGGAAATTATACATATCTGATTAATATGGTACAAATGAATAACAAAAAGACAGCTCTGTAGAGAAATGCAAAAATGATATGAATAGGCAGTTCACTGAAAGGCAAATCCTAATGGCCAGTAAACCTATGAAAATATGCTTAACCTCACCATTAATAATGGAAATGCAAATTTAAAAGAGAAATAATACACATTTCTGCCAAAGATTAGAAGGGTGGTCATTTTTATACCTTGGTGGAAATGTGAATTATTACAGCCTTTTCTGAACGCAGCCTGGCAATAATCTATTAAAGTGAAAACTACTGTTAGTCTATGATCCAGCAGTCTCACTCCTAGAAATCTATCTCATAGAAATAGAGGCAGCAGTGCATAAAAATGTAAGTACATTTACTGCAGCCTTTTTGTTAAGGGCAAAAATACTGAGAACAAGGTAAATGCCTATCCCTCAGGAAAAGGTTAAATTACAGGTTAGCCAATCTCTATTATAATGTAGCCATTAAAAAAACAAATTAATTCGATCTGTGCCTTGACTTCAAGGACTTTTCATGATTCCGTGTGTGTGCATGTGTGAGTGAGAGACAGAGAGAGGGGTGTGTGCATGTATAAAAAAGAGAGAGACACGTTCCCTCCCTCCCCAAAAAAACCTCTGTATGATTTGTATATGATTATATGGGCAGGGAGAAAAGCATACTTTGTTATAAATATTGATTACCTGGGGATGAGTAAGTCTGGGAAGGGAGGATATGGAGGTATTTTCTATTTAAGAAGAAAAAGGATATTTATGATAACAGTTTCTGTGACATATCCCATTTATATAAAATATATGTGCATATATACATATATATATAAAATGAAAAAAATAGTCACCAAAATAATAATCCTAACATATAATTAATTTTTGAAATAAAATACTAAATGGAGCCTGGACATGGTGGCTCACACCTGTAATCCTAGCACTTTGGAAGGCCGAGGTGGCAGGATCATTTGAACCCAGGAGTTCGAGGCTGCAGTGAGCTATGATCACACCACTGCACTCTACCTTAGGCAACAGAGCAAGACTCTTGTCTCCAAAAAATAATAAATAAAGTAAAATGCTAATTTCAGATATACTGGTCAGCATTTTTTTCTCCTTTCAATGCTGATTTAGATAGAGAATCTTGATATTGATCAGATAAATTCATTTTACATATAGAATAATGATGATTTTGAAATAAATTTACAGGATTATTATCATTTTATGTCTTCATTAACTTCTGTTTCAGCATGCATGTTCTTTTGCTATTTTAGCATTTGCTCTTTAACCAATAGTTTTGAGTATAAACTAAATAATATGAGATTAGGAATAAAAATTAGAACAGGTTAATGGTCAAATCCACAAGCAGCTAGCAGTGTTCAGTTGAGTGGTAAACCTAACTGAATTTCTGAATCATGAGCCCACTTATCTGTTATCTATATTGCTACACATAATTGTTTAGTAGGCACCAAGAGGCTCTCATGCTGTTCAGTTTTACAGAGAAAGTATTTAAATTATTGTATTTATTGGTTTTTAAATTGAAATGGAAGTATACATCATGACTATCGTTAATGATTTGAGCTTCTCAGAGCACCTTGGGAACCTGTGGGTTTGTTAACTACTATTTATAGAATGTTAGGTCTAGCCTCACTGATTTTCTCCACAGTCTTGTCTGATGCATGACTTGGTGCTCATCTTGACCTGTCCCTACCTTTGTTCTTCTCCCTATAATTTAGCTCCTGTGCTTTCTTTCCTCATTTTACTCTATTAAAGCTTTATTTTGCCTCTACTCTTTGTTCAAACCCATTCTGTGACTCTAGCTTTGCTCCTGCTTCCTTGGATAAAGTTCTCTATTCTGGTCACACTCCACTTTAAAAAAAAAGTCCTCAAATCAGTTCTAGTCACAAAAGCAGACTAAGTTCATAATTAATATGATAAATTCTGTGTAGTGATTAAAAACTTCAAACTTTATCTAAAGCAAGAGTTTCTTCCTTCCAAAGAAGCATATACCTTCTGAATGCTGACCTCACCTGACTGACTGCTGACAGCAGGGAAGAGGAGTCAACTAATTTTTCTGACCCTACTTAACATGTTGATCCCTCTTCCAACATTCTTCTAACCACATTCTTCAGCCCTCTAGGGTTGAAGTGGAGAAGTGGCAGGAAAGTTCTTACTTGAGTAATAATTGTTGTGGGCTAGTGTTGATGCTATCTGGACTTGGCAACTGTTTAGAGCTGATTCTTTTGCTCGTGAACTCTTTTTATAGTTTCTTCAGAGCTAGCCCATATTAATTATATTTTGCTATATAAAAAGTTGCTCTAAAATATAATGGCTTAGAACAACACCACATTTATTATTTCACATTTTCTGTGGTTCTGGAATCCAGTCATGGTTTACCTGGATCTTCTGGCTCCAGATCTCACAAAGGCACAGTCATCTTAAGACTTAACTAGAGGACGGATCCACCTTCAAGTTTATTTAAGTAGTTGTTGGCAGGATCCAGCTCCTCATGGTTGTTAGCCCTAGGGCCCCATTTCATCATGGGGTGTTGGCCAGAGCCTGCCCTCAGTGCCATGTGGGCTTCATAGAATAACTCATAACATGGCAATGCAACTGGCTTCCTCAGAGCACACAAGTGAGAGAGAAGAGTCAGCAAGAGAGAAGGTAATAGTTCTTTATAACCTACCCTTAGAAGTGACATACAATCACTTTGCCATGTTCCACTCAGTAGAAGTAAATAACTAGGTGCGGCCCACACTCAGGGAGAGGGGATTTTACACAAGGCCATGAACACCAGGAATGGGGGGCACTGGGAGCTGTTTTAGAAACAGCTTACCACTCCCACCACCAGCATTCCTGGGGTTATCTCATCTTCACTTTCCTTGATTCAGGCAAATGCATCTCTCTCTTAGTGGTCACTTTTTAACTCCCTTTTTCCAGGATACCTCATGGCACATTTTCAGCTTTTTTCTGCTATGATTCCCCTTACCTACAGGTGGCCTCTTTGACAGGATTTAAGACAGCCCCACACTAGCTAGTTGTCCATGAAGATTTGTAGTCTTTCCCACAAGAAACTCCGGAAGTACAAGCCCATCCCAGTGCAGTCACCACCCATTTTACCCTGCCATCAAAGAAACTCACCAGAAAGTCTTGTGTTCTTTCAAGATTTCTCAGGCTTGAGTCAAACACTAGCCTTCTATGACTCCCAAGCTCTAGAAGACATATGTTAAGCTGTCCAGGTAGTCTTGTTGAAGCTTTTTTCCACAGGTTGAGGTCGCTGGGGAAAGAGGAGCTGAGACCCATAACATATACATTGCTTTTTCTAAAAATTCTCTGTCAATAACTGCCAACTCTTCTCTTGGCCATCTCCAACCTTTTTGTTGTTGTTGTTATGCTAGAGCTAAAGTTTACAAGGATCTTGACCATGTTCTTTGCAAGTCTGGCATGGTGGTTACTCACCTCTTATTGGAATGTATTATCTGTTGTATTGGCTCTTTGGCTGAAACACTCGAGTAATTCCATATTGACATCGTGTTATTGAGGAAAGATTAATAAAGAATGAGAAAGGTAAAAAAGAATGAGAAAGGTAAAGGAAGAGGAAAGAAATATCTTATTTCAGATTAGGATAAATAGTGTATAATATTAATTATATCATTAATATTATAATATTATGTAAATGTTGGTTTTAAAGTGTCTTTGAAATATTTGGAGTCCTTGTAGAATTAAAAATGAGGTATTTGAGTTATAATTCATAGAATAAAGATATACATGGAGAGAGAAAACAGGCATAAAAAGCCAGAATATCATATTACAAGCATAAATGGTCTTGATTTGGACTGATAAATAAAATCCAACAATATAATGCTTAGACTGACCTAACACAAATAATAGAAGGCAAAAATTATCCCCAAATTGGAAAGATCAATTTATCATAGTTGAGTAAAATAAACAGAGATGGCAACATTTATGTTAGACAAAATAGAATTTAAGGGAAAAGAGCAGATGTTGCATATAATTTTATGTTAACAACTTAAAACCCTCTGAAATTGACACCAGAAATAAAAGATGTGCCAAAATTGGCACAAGTCTTGTGAACTGGATTCACAAGTAATCCAAATTTAGCTTATGTACATGATTGTATTTCTTTAAATTTTTTGGTAAGGGAGGCAAGGCTTGGAAAGTCTGAGTAAAAAGCAGTGAATTCTCTTTCCATTAAAACGTACTATATAAAATCTTGCATATAATTAGGGAAATTTTTCTGGAGATGGGCCAGCTAAGAATCCCTACTGAGATGAGAAAGGGAAGGTTAAAGTCCTGCAAATAATTAGCCAGGCACATGCCTGTAGTCCTAGCTTCTCAGGAGGCTGAGGCAGGAGAATCACTTGAGCCCAGGAATTTGAGGTTGCAGTGAGCTCTGATGATGCCACTGCACTCTAGCCTGGGCAACAGAGCAAAACCCTGTGTCAAACAGCAACAACAACAAAAAACAAATAGTCCTGCAAATAAAGGTTCCTAGAAATTCAAACCGGTTTTAGAATGGAGACCCCCTACCCAACTTCCTTTGCAATGGCAAAAAGTGCTCTTTATATCTAATCAGAGAGGTTCTCGTTGGTTCTGTTCTTAAAGGGCCTGACTGTTTAAAGGAAGAGCCACCTTCAACAGATGTAGACAGTAAGGTATGATAAATTGTGCAGTTCTTTAATAAGAATTCCATTCTATAATTTTTTAATTATACTTTTTCTGAAGCAAACCCTATTCATTTATGTTTTTATTGGTTTAGTTTTAAAAAAATAATTTATACTTTTGTTTTTAATATCAGAAGAAAATGTAGTTTTGTAACACTAGCATTCCTCTCCACTGAGGCAACTAGTATTAATTGTTTGGTGTGTGCCCTTCCTAATGTTTTTCCAGGCTTACATACACACACACAGTTTGATGGAATTAATCATTTTTTATTCTGTAGGTTGCTCTTTTCTCTTGTGCTTGACTAGTTTTTCAAGTCAGTACATACAGATGTTGGCCATGTGATGTGCCATAGTATGCACCATAATTTAGTTAACCATTCCTACACTGATGGCCCTTTAATTATTTCTTCTTTTGGCAAGAGAGCTTCAATGCATATCTTGATTTGTTTATCTTTATGTACTCATGCTCTTATTTCTGCAGGATAGATTGTTTCCTAGAAGTAGAATCGTTAGGCCATGTGGTGTATATGTTTTAAATTTTATAATATATGCAGTCATATCAACTTCTTAAATATTTGTGACAAGTTTACACCAGTAATCATTAATGTGTGTGCCCATTTCCCTACACCCACTGTTAAGGACAATTCTTGCTTAAGAAAATAATTCATTAAAAACACAACAGTAATACTGGGAAAGGTATGAGAAAAATTTTTGGTAATCTTGGAATAGGAAAGGTCTTTTAAACAGAATACAAACTCATAGCCACAAAGGAAAAAAATTACTATAATAGCTTTACTATATAAAAAAACTTCTGCTGGCAAAAATATTATAAATGAAGTCCAGACAAATGATAAATGAGGAAAAAAACATATGTTACATAGAAAATGGCTGAGCTATATATATGTATGTATGTATATAAAATAAGCTTTTACAGATCAATAACAAGACCACAACCCAGTAGAAAAATGAACATTGGATGTAAAAAAGGAGTTTATAAATAATATAATACAAATAACTTGCTAATTTATGAAAAGATGTTCAACATCGTCTATAATTAAGAAAGTGAAAATTAAAACAAAATGTTTTTCACATAGTAAATTAAGATAAGGTTAAAAATTGATAATACTCATTGTGCGTGAAGCTATAGGGAGATAGGGACTCATGTTATTGGTGGGAGTTAATTGGTACAATCCCTGTAATTGAGAATTTGGCAGTTTTAAAGCATTCTTTTGTGATTTTTTTTTTTTTTTTTTTTGAGACAGAGTCTCACTTTGTTGCCCAGGCTAGAGTGAGTGCCATGGCATCAGCCTAGCTCACAACAACCTCAAACTCCTGGGCTCAAGCAATCCTCCTGCCTCAGCCTCCCGAGTAGTTGAGACTACAGGCATGCGCCACCATACCCGGCTAATTGTTTCTATAAATATTAGTTGGCCAATTAATTTCTTTCTATTTATAGTAGAGACGGGGTCTCACTCTTGCTCAAGCTGGTTTCGAACTCTTGACCTTGAGTGATCCTCCCACCTTGGCCTCCCAGAGTGCTAGGATTACAGGTGTGAGCCACCGCACCCGGCCTTTTGAAATTTTTTTAACTGAAGTGTTGTAAGTGTATGGTTTTTAAAATCACTCTCAACTTATAATGAAGCATAATAGTCTCCTGTTTAATCTCAATTTTTTGAGTAAATAATAATCTGTTGACATTTTATCTTAAGAGACAAGGATATGACCAACTTGTTATACTACCCTCATCTTCTCTTCCCTTTCTTTTGACCTGTTTTTACCAATGTATTATTATGAAAACTTTTAAACATACAGAAAAGTTGATTATTAAAGTGAGCACCAATATGCCCACCATCTAAATTCTATAATTAATATTTTGCTCAATTTATTTGATTACATTTCTATCCATCTAACAATCTCCATTCATCAATTCATCTTATTTTCCATATTTTTTAAAGTATAAGTTGCAGACATTAGTATATTTCATCCCTAAACACTTCAGTAAGCATATCACTAACTAGAGTTTAACATTTATTTACATTTTTGAGATAAAATTTACATATAGTGAATGTCCAGATCTTAAGTGTTCTGTTCCATGAGTTCTGACAAATATATATGCCCACTTTACGGAAAACCCTATCAAGATATAAAATATTACCATCACCCCAGAAAATTGTCTCATGCCCTTCCCAATCACCACCTCCACCTTCCCCCAGAGGTAATCACTAATCAAATTTTTTTACCATAGATGAGCTTTTCCTTTTCTAGAACTTCATATAAATGGAATCATGTAATATGTACTCTTTTGTGTAAGACTTCTTTCTTTTAGCTTAATGTTTTTGAGATTCATTCCTATTATTGTATATATTAGTATCTCTTTCTTTTTTGTTACTGAATAGTATTCCCTTGTATGCCACAGTTGGTTTAGCCTTTCTCATGTTAATGGAGCTGCTGTGAACATCCTTATATAAATTTTTGTGTGGACATACGCTTTTACTTTGGGAGGTAAATACATAGAGCATTGTAAGAAGTTGGTTTGTTAAAAGATAAACACAATAGATACCACTTCACCCCTGCTAGAATGACTAAAATTTAAAAAATTGTCCATAATAATTGTTGGTTAGGATGTAGAGCAACTGGAACTCGAGAGAGAGAGAGAGAGAGAGAGAGAGAGAGAGAGAGAGAGAGAGAGTGTAAAATGGCCCATTTTGGGAAAAAGTCTGACAGTTTCTTAGAAAGTTAAATATACACCTACACTGTTACTCAGTAATCTGCTCCTAGGTATTTCCCCAAGAGAAATGCAAGCATATATCCACAGAAAGAAACATACAAGAATGCCTATAGTCATTTCCTTTACAATAGTCAAAAACTGGAAACAATGACAATGCCCATCAGTAGAATGGATGCAGCAAAGAACTACTTGACAGTATAAAAGAATGAAATACTAATATAATATGGATTTATCCCAAAGGCTTGTAGAGCAAAAGAAGCTAGTAACCAAAGACTTTTTACTGTATGATTCATTATATTTTAAGAGCAAGAACTTAGAAAATTGGTTACCTATGGGGAATAGGAAATACCTGGTAGGGAGTACAAGGACTTCATGAGATGATATAAATGTTATGGTACTTGATTAAGTGTTGGTTATAAAGGTAAATCCATTTATTATATTATCAAATTGTCATAAAATATACATTCAAGATTGGTGTATTTTACTATATATAAATTTTACCTCAACAAAAATGAAAATAAACTCTAAAAGCAAATATATTTTATGTATGTTCAAAATTGAATCTGTGTGGACAATTGTTCAGAAGACTTGAAGGGACTCTAGGAGGAGTTAGGGAAATATGCCAAAATTTTGGACAACTTAATTTAAAATGTGACTGCTAGAATTAAAAAAAAAAAGGATAAACCATAGAGGTTAAATGAAGGTCTTATAGGAAGATCACAAACCAAAATCCCTCACTTTTAACTGTTCAACCTGAGTTTTCCAATTGTCAGAAGTGATCTCTCCAGATATACCATGAGGATGAGTTAATGCCCCCACATATTCCTCCTCCATAATCAGCAGTGTAAACATACTAATGAGGGA